CAATAGCACTTTAGGGTATAGGGTTCGGGCTTAGGGTCTTTAGGGTATACCTGTTCTAAACCACAAAGGGGTCAGGGCACCCAAAGGGGTTATAGGGCTTAGGGTTTTTTTTTCGAGGAGCACACGTATATGAGGATGCCGAAGGCTCCTTGAAGATAATGTAGGATAAGGAAGCCAGAGGCTCCTTGAAGCTAATGTACAATTAAGGAAGCCAGAGGCTCCTGTTTTGTGGCCGCTAGACAATATTTGTTTATCCTCAGCAGTCCTCCCAAGCCTTGAATTTTTTGCAGTAGATCTGTGAGATGTGTGCCGCCATGGATCCGGACATCATGCAGCGGGGAGGATCCAAACAAAGAGCTGCGAAACGTGCTGCACAAACTTCGGCAGCAGTTCCAGAACCCAGCCGATTGGCGACCCACCTTCTGCGGTCATTCGGCTGGGGGAAGATGTCTTTGCCAGAAGTACAGGTGGTGGCTGCACTGGTGGAAGAAGATGCATTGGAGCCAGTGAAAGCCGAGATTCGCATACTTGCCAATCTCGGCTCTCGGGGCCTATATCAGGGAAATCTCCGGAGAGACCTATTGAGGCACACTCAAATGCCTGCTCTTGTGAGCAGCAACGTGTGTGTGCCCATCAAGAAAGCTCTCCGGGCTGCGATCCCGTTTTTGGACCCTGTTGACGTGTTTCGGTCGCTGCAGCGACAGCCAATGGTCTTCCGTGAGTTATGCTGCAGGAACGATGGTGACATAGCGAACTTTTGGCGAGAGGTCGGCTCCTCGCACCCTGCACTCCTGCACCATCCCGTGAAGAAGATCAAGAACTACCAATCCAGAGCGGTACCGCTGATCCTGCACGGCGATGGAGTTCCGATTGACAGCAAGGACAGGTCTTGTGCTTTTATCTCTTGGAGAAGCCTGCTCTCCTCACAGACCTCTTCAAAGCTCGTCCATGTGCTGATAAGTGCTGTTTGGACTGAGCAGATCGTGGTGTCTTCCTGTGGCAACACTGTGGCCAGCATCTGGGGACACGTCGTTCGGGCCTTTGAACGATGTTTCGAAGAATGCAAGACGAACAATGACTTGTTCCCGGTGCTCCTTTTTCTGACTGGTGACTTGGAATGGTACAACACGAGTCACAACTTGCCACGGTGGAATTCCAACTTCCCTTGCGGGCATTGCAACATCAGCAAAGACAATATGTTCGACTACAAAAACGTGGCGGAGGTTCCTGTGGATCCATGGCACTGCCCTCGCCGCAGCTGCTGCCCTCTCCTGCGACACCTTGTGAGCCCCAGTGGTGTGATTCCGGACTGGATGCACAGCAAGCACCTCGGCTTCGACCAGCGGCTGGCTGGCTCAACGTTGTGGGTTCTCTGCTGGAGGATCCTTCCTGGCGGAGTAGAGGAAAACCTGGACAATGTATTGCTGCAGATGAAGGCTGTGAACTTTCCTTTTTTTCAGATAGGCTAGCTTAAGCTCCTCCTGTTTTCAGATATGTATAGGCAGCTTAAGCTCCTGCTGTTTTCAGATATGGTATAGGCAGCTTAAGCTCCTGTTGTTGTGAGACATGGTATATAAAAGTTGTAGTGTGTAGGCAGCTTCAGCTCCCCTGCAGGACTACTGGCGGCAGCACAAGGGCAATGGCATCAACTACATCACTCAGACCATGGTCCTGGCTGACCCACAGGATATTCACTGCAGAAAGGGATACCCTCGCTTGAAGGCCAAGGCAGCAGAAACTAAGGGCGTTATTGCAGCTTTGGCGAGCATCTGCCAACAGCACCTGCAACAGGACAACGAGGAGCACCAACAGATTGCCCTGGCTTTGAGTTTCAGCCGCGATTTGGACCAAATGGCAGATGGCATCGAAGACTGGAAGCCCTCGAAAGAGGTGGCGGATCGGATGATGCTCACGGCCGTTTGTCTCTTCCAGTGCATGACGATTTTGAATAAGTCCTTTCTGGAGCAGGGCCATCTGGCCTTCCAGTTGACATTCAAGACACACTGGTTTCTGCATGGGCTGCAGCTGGCGAGGCATCTTTCCCCCAAGCTGACTTGGACATACTCCGGCGAGGATTATATGTCCAAATGCAAGGGTCTCCTCAAGATGTGTACCAAGAGCCGGACGATGCTGACTTCGTTGGATCGTTTCATGCGGCAGTACACAGATGCCATGTCAATCGAACTGGCAGAGATCCTTGCACAGCCTGGACCGCCGCTCTGAGGAGAAAAAATGGGACCGTTCCTTAATTGCTGAAGGAAGCCTCGGGCTCCTCGTTCCTTAATTGCTGAAGGAAGCCTCGGGCTCCTCTGAGATTTTGAGCGCCTGCAGTTCTGAAGCAATCTAAGCCTCGGCCTCCTTGTAGGATCTTCAGGGCATGTCGTATCTGCTGCAGCCGTTTTTCAGCTCAAGCTCGCCGCTCGCCTCCGTAGTACAGCCATGGCAGACGAGGCCGAGCAAGCCGTTGAGGTCAAGGACCTCGTGGAGGCAGCTCTGCAGAAAGACGAGGGCGACCAAGCCGTTGAGGGCAAGGACCTCGTGGAGGCAGCTCTGCAGAAAGCCCGAGAGGAGGAGCTCGACCCAGAGGCTCGCAAGTGCAAAAGGGAACGGTGGGTGGGCTACCAACACGTGAACTTCCCCTGGCTTTCTACCGCCTTCCTCAACGAGGTGTTGCCCAACAGCTGGTTCGTTTCCAAAAGAGCTTGGGAAAAAGAAGCCTGTGTTGCCCGTCGAACCCTGAGGCTGTTGACTTGCCTCCGCTTCGGCCTCAAGCTACAGCAGCTGGCTGCCGGCAAAAACGGCGGGGCATGAGTGCCATGTAGTGGCTCCATGCTATAATTTAATGCACGTGTCATGACACATGTGTATATATGCTAGGGATCGAAGTCGCTGCGAGGGAAAAAAGGAGTGCATGAATCTATAGGAGCTGTAGTCCAGGAAGCCAAAGGCTCCTGAGGGATATTAAGATAGGCCAAGGGCGAGGAAGCTGCCAACTCGATCGCTTTAGAAATGCAATAAGCAAGGAAAAGGCACAGAAGGCACAAATGCACCATATACTCAGAAAGGCTTCCATGAACCCCGCAAGCCAATGGGGTCCAGGAAGCCAGGCAACCAAGAAATCCAGGATGTGTCAGTCCTGGATCCGCACGGGACCGCCTCGTGAAGACGTGGCGGTCCCACCCATGTGCGAGGAAGCCGCCAGCTCCTAAAAAAAAAGGTAGCTTAGAAGCTCCTATAGGCATCCGGTGACACCATAGGATGTGCCCGCATGCATGGTTGTTGTATATATATTGTATGTTTTTCCCGTGCAGTTTTTTTAGTTTGCAGCTGTAGGACTCCTGCCATGGCACTGCCGACAGTTGGCGAGCGGCTGAAGGTGCTGCCGTCAGTGACTGCAGCTGGCCTTGAAAATGCCGTCGAAAAAGGGTTGCGGCAGATGGGCCACAACACACTCGGCATGCTGTGCAGAGGACTGGATGAATGCTCATGGAAGACGGCCCTGGGCAAACACATCCAGGAGGTCGTGTTCCTCGCTCCGATCTTGAACCGTATCTTCGAGATCTGCACCAATGGCTTGATACCCCATGCCTTGCTCCAGACTGCTTTGCTCGGCCTGTTCAAGAGGGACATCCTGGTACTACAGGCTCCACAGCAGAAGTTGCCAGGCTGGGGGCGCTTATAATCTCATGATAGGTATAGCCTAAGGATCCTAAGACTCTAGTGCCTAACCCGGCCCCTAAACCCATAAATTCAAAGCCCTGCAGGCTGGGAAGACTCGTCGCTGCAGTACTTCAACCTGAGATTCAGAATGCTGGCCGGCAAGATTCGGGATGTTGCCACCGGCAAGGAAAAGATGCCCAAGAAACTCGACAAGCAGGCACTTCAACAGGTGCAGGCCCTCTGCTTGCAGATCAACCCGAAGTTCAAAATGGAGGACATGGTGCAGCCATCGGAGACAGTGCCGCTGAAAGGTGTACTTGCACTCCAGGACGGGCCAGCGAAGGATGCCGAGACGGAGCCTGCAGCAGCAGTCGTACCTGCACCTGTCACTCCTCCGGTGTCCCATACCCCCGCTTCTGGCAGCATGGGCTGCATGCCAAGGGCATCTGGAAGCATGGACTTCATGCAAAGGGCGACACAGCAAGCTTTGCAGAATGCCTGGGCAGCCTCTCCGGCCAAGCCCCTCACCAAGAAGCAGAAGGAGGCGGCTGTCCAGAAACGGCCTGCGAGCAAAGCTCCAGAAGCCTCGCCGAAGAAGCGGCCTGCTGCCAAAGATCCAGAAGCCGGCACAGCTGCCAAGAAGCAGAAGGAGTCTGTTAACCCTGCCCCTGTGCCCGGCCGCGAGGAGAAGGAGCTCTACCAGGAGGCGATCAGCACTATTATCTCTGACTCCGTGTTTAAAAGCACGGACAGTAGGAACCACTACACATCTCGATTTTACGCCAAGGCGAAGAGGCTTGCTCTTGGCCACGGCTTGGGGAAAGAGAAGGCCGTAGAGTGGGCTCGCAAAGCCCACTCGAAAGCCAGCCAGCTCTGGGATGAAAAGTTTCACTGAGAGTGAAGTCCACTCGAAAGGAAGCCATGGGATGAGACTGCGAGTAAAAGGAGTGCTGCATCTGGGGTTTTGGGCAAATTATAAGCCAGAAGCCGCCTTAGGAAGCAGAAGCTCCTGAAGCATCCAGTCCAAGATTTAAGTCAGGAAGCCTTAAGCTCCTGAAACATCCAGTCCAAGATTTAAGTCAGGAAGCATAAGCTCCTGAAAAGAATTCAAGGAAGCAAGAGCTCCTGGAGGAAAATCAAGGGCTAAAATAGCCTATGTAATAGTTTAAAATAGACTATTCAATAGTTTAAAATAGACTATAATAGTCTATTTAAAATAGACTATATCCTAGTCTATTTTTGACTATATATCTTATAATAGACTAATAGTCTATTTTAGGATATATAGTCTGTTAACAGCCTAAGAAGATTCTTTGGGAGTTTTCCTTGAAGCAGCCGAGGATGGCGACGTGGCCCAGGTTGCTTTTGGCTTTCAGGCTTTATCGGGGATTCGGTTTCAGGGCCTTAGTTCCGGGATTTGGTGCTTATGATGTGGCCCGGGTTGCCTTTAGAGGCTTAGAACTGACATGAGTTCGGGGCTTTTCTTCGCATGTTGCAGTGTTTAGGTCTCGGGGTTTCTTACAGGGTTTCTCTGGTTGTCCTTGGGATCTGCGGGTTTACAGTGATTCGATTCAAGGTGTAGTAATTAGTTGGATAGTACGTTTCCATTTTTGCAGATGAGACATGTTCAGGTTTCCGCGGCGCTGATCTTACTGTACTGGGTCTTGTAGGTGTTTTAGGATGAGGGGATCTAGTATATACTTTCTTAGAGCTAGGGTACAGTTTACATGTTTTGGGGGTACTGAATTCCAATAGTAAGGAATAGACACTTACATGTTTGATAGTATCCTCTGGGGATTACGCTGTCGTAGAACTCCACAGATCCCCTACCAGGAGTCTGGACCCTACAGAAACCACCATATCGTCTGTACGACACATTCAAAAAAGAAGCTACCCTAAACTCTACAGCATCCTACACCCGAATCCCTAAACCCTAAACCATCCTAAACCCTAAAACCCCTAAACCCTAAACCCAAATCTACCACCTAAGAGGCGATCTGTATGTCAGAAAAAAGCCCAAAAGCTACCCTAAACCCCAAAAGCCTTAAACCCCAAACTGCCCTAGACCCTAAACCAAAGCACCTAACCCTAGGGATCAAAATAGCCAAAGAACCTTACATAGTATGGCTTTCGGGCCCAAAAGCCTGAATATATGAGTCCCTAGATCCCTAATCCCTATAGATCCCTTTAAGGGACCCCTTGTAGATCCCTTTATTTACAAAAACCCTATATGAGTCCGTAGATCCCTCGGGCAAGAGGCCATCTCAAAAGTCCAAGCTTTGCAAGCCTCGAGGTTGAGGCGTTGCTGCAGATTCCCCTGGATCCGGATGCAGCAAGCGACGGCTTACCCAACCGATGAGAGCACTGTTTTACCTTTCTGGCCTATATATATATATATATATATATATATATATATTTTTGTATTGATTTATTGATTTGCGTAGAATAAGAATAATAATAACAATAATCATGATATATATATATATATATATTTATTTATTTATTTATTTATATATATATATATACATACACACACATACATACAGACATACATGCATACATACAGACATACATACATACATACATACATATATGAGCATAGTCTCTCTCTCTCTCTCTATATATATATATTACACACACACACACATATATATATATATATGTACATACGCTTGGTCTAGCTATGCCTATGTTAGAAGCTTTGAACTTGCTTGGGCCCGGTTATTGCAGAAAAGAGGCTATGGCACTACACCACTGATGCGGGCAGCAACCTGGGGCAACGTTGATGTCGCGGGTTTGCTACTGGAGGCCGATGCGCAGGTGGGATATGCACAAAGGGCGAAAGGTAATTAGGATCCCGAGCGTAATTCACCTCAAACGAGATGGTTAACCATTTGTAAAGAGATGCCTTTCAAACTAGATTCTAGATCCTATAAGGATCACGAAAGAGATCCCTAGTTGATCCCACTGAAGACCGCGAGTAGTTGAATCCTGGCTATGAGCGCCCCATTATAATTATCCAAAAGAGACCAAGGATTTTATCATCAACCCTAAACCCACTTTCGAAAGCCTAAGGTAAGTTTGCGCAGCGACACGGACTACACGGCCTTGACGCTGGCGGCACGCGAGGGTCATCCTGAAGTGGTGCAGCTGCTAGATGTTTTAGGGGATCTCGGGTTTGGGAGTTTGGGCTTTAGGGGTTTGGGTTAAGGGTTAAGGGCTTGTGTTTAGGGTTTAGGGTTTAGGGTTTGGGCCTAGGGTTTATAAGGGTCTTACAACATAAGTCATGGTTTTCAGTCAGGCTGCTATGGGTTTCCCCACACCCCCAAAAAAAACCAAAAAGTAGATCCCTTCATGGGGTTCCTATAAAATACCCGTAGTAGTATAGGGCCCCAAATTAGAGGATCTACTTTCAAGTAGATCCTCCCGGGGGTCTCTGGGTCTCGTGGTCTTTCCAGGATCGGCAGGGTTTCTTTATGTGGACCTTGTACGGTCTTTCAATCATTTCCATGGCGTTTAACAAGGGTGCGAATTGTAATTTCCCATAGGATGCTGTACCTGGATGCCAAGAAACAGAGTCTACTTAATGTATTTCCGAACAGGGTGCGAATTGTAATTTCCCATAGGATTTGTGCTTGGAATCCATATGGTTTTGGTAGGGTGCTTTATACGGGGTTCTCTAGGGCTTTAATCGAACATTAGTCGGTTTTCTGCTCGGCCCAGAAGTATCCCTTCAACAAAGACGGTGCGACTGAACACGTTTTGCGATAAGGAAACCCGAAACCGAAAAAATGAGTAGAAAGGTACTATTGGGGCACATAAACCGCACGACCTGTGCTAAACACCAAAGGCCTTACCGAAGTTTGACGGAAACTTCGAATAAACCTTATCACATAAACCTTAGCAAGTACTTTAAGGATCATGGGACTTAGTAACTAGGGTTATCATTAGGGTAACCATACTTATAACTAGTTATTACCATATTTAAGTTACTTATAACCCTACTTACTAAGTCCCATGATCCTCCAAGTAGAGCCTCATGACACCTTCTACATTAGAAGGTGCCCCCACCCTGTAATAGTGGTATAATAGGAATATAATAGGGCCCTAATGTAATCCTTATAGTCACTAGTACAGCGTGGGGGCAGCTTCTAACTTATACACACCAATAGAAGTCTTGAAGAGTCCTTTCCAGTGAACAGACCTCTCCCAAGTACCTACATAGTAGAAGTGGGGTTTCTACAGTAGGACTCATCACTGTGGGTGCTTAGCTCCCTTTGGGGAATCATTGACAAAAATGTTCGCGATCCCAAAGCCCTAAACCCTAACAGAACCCTTGCAGACCCCTCAAAGGAACCCTTTAAGGGACCCTAAGTCCCGTGAACCTGTAGGGGACCCTCAACCCTAAGCCCTAAATCCTACGCCAGAAAGTTGGAATATGATTATCCTAACCCTTCTATGGTAAATTGTAGGGTATCCTACCATGAAACCATATTCCAACTTTCTGGAGTTCCCTTTAAACCCTGAACCCTAAACACTAAACCCTAAGCCCTTCTGTCGGGGGCTAAGGTTGCTTCTGGCAGCCGGCTCCGAGAAAGAACTCATCGACGAGTACGGCCTTTCAGCACTGATGTGTCCTTGATCCCAAGGGATCTATGAGGGCGCCTTTAAAGGGATCTCTAAGGGTTTCGTTAACGGAATCCATAGCAGGGTTCCTTTAAATGGATCCATACGGGTTTCTTAGGGTCTGGGGTTTAGGGCAGGGTTTAGGGTTTAAATCATGTTGGAGACTGAGATGATGTTTTAAAATGTGAAGCCCTAACCTCCCTACACCAGAAAACCAGTTTAGGGCTTGGGTCAGAAGCACCCTCGTTTCGATGGCTATTTTGCTCCAGGTACCCATAGGCTCCTCAGTAGTTCTTTTTTCGGATTACATTATAGGATTCTAAACAAAAAAACCCTAAAGAGGAACTACTATGGACCCGTGAATCCCTTTTGGGATTGCCTTTTAGTCTCATGGGATCCTGATCCTCAACCCTGAACCCAAAAAGGAACTACTATGGAGCCGATGGGTGAGAAGAGCCCTTTACAGGAACCCTACAGGAACCCTAAACACCTAAACCCCCAGTATGAACCCTAAACCCTGAACCCAAAAAGGAACTACTATGGAGCCTCTAGTACTTGGAGGTTCAGGGGGAGTTATAAGTGCGGTTGTCTATACTTAAAACCCATATTAGGGACTTATAACTCCCCTTATAACTACCCATGAACCTCCAAGTAGGGTTTAGGCTTTAAGGTTTTGGGGGTCCAGGTGGCTAAAGCCTAAGCCCTCCTCTCGGGGGCTAAGGTTGCTTCTGGCAGAGTCTTACAGGATTCTAAATATGAACCCCAAAGAAGAACTACTATGGAGCCTCTAGGTATGCAGGGCGCCATGGTCAGGCGGAAGTTGCGGAAGTGCTTTTGGAGGCCGGTGCTCAGGTGGGAGTTTCCGACAAAGGGGGTACCTGTAAAGGGATCCTTAAAGGGTTCCTTAAAGGGATCTATAATAAGGGTTCTACAAAGGGTTTAGGGTTTAGAGTTTCCGAAAATCGTTTCGGGGTCATTATAGTACGTATCCTACTATCTAGGGTGCTATATTAGGGTCCGCTGTTTTGGGAAACTCCCAGGTGGACTTGTGCAACAAGGACGGCTGGACATCACTGATGTTTGCGGCGCGCTGTGGTCATGCCAGAGTGGTCGGCCTGCTTCTCGCTGCCAATTCTAAATGGGATTCGGTGGACAAAGACGGCCGTACAGCGCTGATGATGGTCAGTGATGGGAGAGAATTGGAGGTTCGGAATGAGGTTCGGCTATTGCTGCTAGAGGCTGCTTGGGCGTGACCCAAAGCTATGGCCTGTGAGCGAAAAATGCAGGGCTGCACAATGATGAAATCTCGTTATTGCATTACATGGTTTGTCATAGGGTTCCTTTGAGGGTCCCTGCAAAGGGTTACTTTAAAGGGTGATGCAAAGGTTGCTATAAGGGTTTGAGGTTTTGGATTCTTCCTCCCAGCTGCCATGCTGCGGCGGGTACTATAAGGGCACTATCCGGGTTTCGAGGCTCCATGTACCACAAAGTACATACTTAGGCCTTAGAAGGGTTCCTATATATCTACTTTAATGCCTGAGTATATAAGTCATGCGTACATGGAGCCTTGAACCCTACACAGAGCCCTTATAACAGTACCCTTATAGAACCCGGTATGGTCCCCTTAAAGGAACCCTTAGAAGCGTACATGGAGCCTCAGGGACTGTATTTTCACGGTAGAACATTGCATCTATAGCACGCATCAGTTTCTATCCGGATGACACCTACATTCGAAAAGCCCTAACCCTAAGACTACAATCACCGAAACCACAAGACCCCCCAAACCCCAAGCCCTCAACCCTAAACCCTAAAGCCAAAAAACCCAAGTCCTTAGACCCGAAAGCTGAAAACCTTGAAGCCTTAAACTTTAAAGCACAAAGCCCGAAAGCATTACAACAACCAAGAACCCTGAACGCCCCTAAACCCTGAGCCCGAAAACCCCAAAGCCCTCAAGCAGGAAATTGATTCGCTCGGATCGAAGAAGAAGGAGCGGCTGATCCTAATATCTGCCCATGACGCGTCATGGGGTTTAGGGTTTGGGGTTTCTACAAGGGATGGTAAGAGACGGTGTAAAGTAGGGGTCGGAATCATGCCGGTAGCAGTAAGATTTCTTTTTAGCTCCCACCTATTGCAGCTACATTAGGTTATTCCCGCAAAACATGACCATATCAGTCGTAGTTGGTTGTAGTTCCTATTCTTCGTTGAATGATATATAGTACATGTGTAATATACTCTCGAACCCTGTTCTGACTTTTTGGGGTTCAGAGTTTGCAGCTTTTGGGGTTTGGAGCTCAGTGGATCATGTGTTCAGAGTTTCGGATTTACGGGTCTAGGACTTGTAGCCCCTAATGTAACATTCCCCAACACCCCCGTCGAATGATTAAGGCCCTGTATTAATCCGTCCATGAACATTCGCTGTAGTTCCTGACCTTCGGCAGGTCAAAGTGCTGACATGGTGCCGAAAGCGGTTGAGGGTGTGCTTTTCTGCAAGAGATGCAAAGCTTGCAGGATGGACCCCCTCCCTTCCCCTCCCCCCCAAAAAAAAAAACTATCATCAATAAGACACGGGAGTGCAGATGCAGTTCGCGTTCTTGGACTTCATTTGAACGTCAAATGGCCTGGTGGCTTCGGAAACCTGCTGTTCGACTGGCCAGCTCCTGGGCGTCCAGGTGATGCAGTATTGGGGGGACGACCGTGGTAGCTGGTCATAGTTTTTAGGGTTGTTTTGAGGGTCTTGAAGAGGGTTTTGGATAGGGTCCGGATTAAGTAGTATCTAGGAGGACCCTTTATCGCTCCGAATATACCCATTTGTAAAATCTACCCCAGAATCCTTGTTTGATTCTAGAGGCCGCGATGTTATATTCTGATCAAGCAGTGCTGCGTATAGTAGAGACCTGGAAGGAAGTTGAGGCTTGGTGTGTGTGTGTGTGTGTGTGTGTGTGTGTGTCTGTGTGTGTGTGTGTGTTCCAAAGGCCACCCAGCAGAGCACCCTCCGGGAGAAGAATCCGCTGTAGATCATGGTGTTGTCTTTATTTATTAAAGGGTTCGGGAACGGTTGTATACGTGGTTCTAGACAGAGCTTAAGGGCTGCAGCACTTAAGATAAATGCATTTCTTTTCAGCGTCAGAATCGCAATCAGGGATGCGGCACCGCTGTCGAGAAGGTGATAGCAATAGTGTCACTGCTCTTGATGGTGACGCCCAAGGTCTAAGTAAACAGATGGCTTCTGACGATGGCGAAGAAAAATGACGAAGAGCACGAAGTAATGACACCTGTGCCTATGATGAGGACTGTACACCCGAGGCCCTCAACCTTACTCCCTAATGCCTAAACCCTACAACCCCACTGGGACCTAGAGTAGGCCCTTATTCCCTTTTTAAGGGTTCAGGTTCCCTTATAAGCCCCTTTAAACCGGAAAGGGCAGCCTTTATATTCCAGGGTTACTCTTGGGTCTAGCCCACGACCCCAAGCCCCTAAACTCCGGGCCTGGGAGCTGTCGTGTGCTCTGCGCGTTTGTCAAACGGCCAGGAGAAGAAGAGGCGGCAGAGTGGACAAGGACTGGATCTGCTCTCCCCAGATGTGCACTTAAACCATATACTCTACAAAAAAGGCTCTTTAGCCTTTACTTAGGCCTGAAAGTACCCATATAGGAGCCCCGTTAAGCCATGAGTTTATATTATATGACATGGGTACATGACACGAACCCTCGAACCTTTGAAGGAACTCTTAGGGTAGATGGAGCATCAGAGTTTTGAATCGGGCCCCAGAGAGTTAATCAGGGTTTTGGCTTCAAGGTTTTGCTTTTTTGGCTTCTGATATGGTTTCGGTTTGGACCTTCTAGACCGGAATCAGAAAGCGAACACAAGTGGCTTGCACCGACATCCAAGGCGAGACCCCCAAAGTCATGGGCCAGAGTGCCTTTAACGGTTCCTTCAAGGGCTCCTTTAAGGGTACCTTTTAAAGGTGCCTTTAAGGTTACCATAAGGGTTCCGTAAGGATACCAGGAGGGTTCTATATGTCAAGCCCTTGGAGTGCAGCTGGCCAACAGTTGCGGAGTCCAGTTGCCAGTGGGCCACAACAGCAAAACGCCCCTCCCGTCTGAGCCTCTAAACCCCAAGCCTTATGGGACTTAGTTGGTACTGTTACAGGTACCCACCTGGGCTTGTATTAGTAATTATGGCTACCTTATTCAAAACTCTAGTTACTAGGCCTGGGATCATGGGACTTAGTGACTTCGTATTTGTAGTTATACGTACCTGAATTGGAGGTATGAGTAAGTACAAGTAGAGTAACCCTTGTTTTATCACCCTAGTTACGAAGTCGATTGAACCTCCAAGCATGGCAGCGTTGAAGCAACGGGCAATGTGAGGAGTGGACCTGGAGTGACGATGCATGCTGCGGCGACAGCATGCATCGTCACTCCACCTGGCATCTTCAATAGATCACCGCCAAATCACCCGCAGAGGTGCATTAGGTCTTGCTCAGGCCAAGGCCGTTGAATTGCAGAAATACGTGGAGTTTAGCGCCGGTGCCGTGCCTGCCACGGGCACCGACACCACGGTTGAATTGCAGAAATACGTGGAGTTTAGCGCCGTTGCCGTGCCTGCCACGGGCACCGACACCACGGGCTTTCTGGAAATATGCCAACCAAAGCTATCAACATGTCCGTGCCAACGACCCGCAGTACTGTGCGTTGGCCGGGACGATGGCGTTCCGAGGAGAAGTTGCATGTAAAGAGCAGATTGTTTTTGACTTATACATCTTACAGTTTCCGACAAGTACCCCAAAAAAACCCGCCCGGAACCGCAAATGCACGAAGCATAGCATGATGCAGTCATCTCCGGACCAGGGCTTCTCTCCTCAACATTAACCCTAAAGGCTCCATGTACCCTTATAGTAGAAACTTAAGCCTTAAAGGGGTCCCTATATAGGTAGTTTAAGGCCTAAATATGTACTATATGGGTACATGGAGCCTTTGGGTAAACCTAAAGAGTATTGCCAACTCCAAGCAGTTTTCTACGGTTCCTTCAATGAAGCACTGAAGCATAAAGGGCAGCTTAGCCCTTATGAAGCCACCCGCCTGGAAGTTTGTATGCTCTTCTTGTCATATAACTTGATGAAGCTTTTTACCACTCACCGGTTCATTCCATACAGTAGGGTGCAAGATTCGAACCTTAGACCCGGAACCCCCGCTAAACCATTCCAGACCCTCATCATCCACCTGAACCCTAAACCCTAAGCCCTAAACCCCCCAACCCATTTCTCCTAAAAACCTAGCCCTTTAGAGATCCCGTTCAAGATCCCGTTCAAGGAGCCCTAAACCCTAAACCCCCTAAACCCATCTCTCCTAATACCCTAGCCCTTTTGAGGACCCTAGCCCCTCCAAAGGAACCCTAAACCCTAAACCCCCTAAACCCATCTCTCCTAATACCCTAGCCCTTCAGAGATCCCTTGAAAGGAACCCTAAACCCTAAACCCCCTAAACCCATCTCTCCTAATACCCTAGCCCTTTAGAGACCCCTTTAAAGGAACCCTAAACCCTAAGCCCATCTCTCCTAATACCCTAGCCCTGTAGAGATCCCTTTAAGGAGCCCTAAACCACCCTAGTCCTTTAGAGATCCCTTTAAAGGGACCCTGAACCCTGAACCCGAATCCTCCTAACGGGAACTTTGCTAAGGGGTTGCATTTATGTTACCATAATCCCTAAGGCTCCATGTACCCTTATAGTAGATACTTAGGCCTTAAAGTACCTATATAGGGACTACTTTGGGGCTTAAGTATCTACTATAAGGGTACATGGAGCCTTTGGGAATAGGCATCTATGCAGGTTTCTGTAAGGGATCTACCAGGACTCCTTTAAGGATATAGGGTTTCAGGTTTCAGTTACCATAATAGGTAACTATAGTAAACAAGAAGGTTACCTGAGTATGGTAGCTTAAATAACATCCCTTAACAGGAACCCCTAAGCCCAATAGATCCTTAAATGCCTGTAGATCCTTTTTAGTATTCTTACAGTAGCCTTATAGAGCCCTTCAAGGAACCCAAAACAAGACCTTAACCCCTAAACCCTTATAGACTTATAGATGCTTAAAGGAACCCTTATAGATCCCTTAAAGGAATCCTAAATTATGGTAGCTTGAATAGAACCCCTTATCCCTAAACCCTAAACCCTTAAGTATAATCCCTTATAGTAGCCTTCTAGAGCCCTTTAAAGGAACCTAAAGGAACCCTAAACCCCTAAACCCCCTGTTTA